AAAATTATCTTGGAAAGCGCTAAGCTCATTCATTCGTTTGCAAAATATTTATCGACAAGCTGCAATGTGCCATGCAGTGTCCTTGATCTTAAGGAAACAGGCATTTAAACATGCAATAGATAATAAATGCACTTACATTTGTACCTCTGTGAATGTCTGTCTATATTAGAAGTGGTGGTTAATATCCTGAGTACTGGTGCCAGACTTCCTAGGATTAAATTCACTCACTAATTTCGTGATTTGGGGCAAGTTAGTTAACCTCTCTGTAGCTGGTTCCTCACCTGTGAAATAAGAATAATAATAGCTCACTGGGTTGTTATGAGGGAAAAAATAAGTAAATTGTGTAAACCACTTAGAACAGTGCCTGCCACAAAATAAGTATTACTCAAATTTAGTTATTGTTATTATTACTGATATATAAGAAGTAAAAGGTACATAGAGTACAGATATAAGATCTTAAAGATACAATTATGCAAATAGAAGCTAATTTATGAAGAAGATGGGATTCATCTATCCCAAACACATCACTCACATTCTTCTACATAGGACCTTATTAAAAATTCTATATATATGAACTGAAAGAGAGAGATCCTAAAAAACTGTCATTTCAGATTGACTATAGATACCACAATAAATATAAATTAGTTCTGAAAACATAAGTGCAAAATAAATATTAACACATAAGTGAGAAATTCATAGAATTTTGAGTTTTATACTAAATTTATTGCAGAATACAATCATGATCACATACTTAACTGTTCAGATACATCTAGTAAATTATTATCTCATGATGCAAATCGATTTATTTTTATTTGTTCTCTTTTCCAAATAGTCTATAAATATTTGAGTGTCTAAGACATACAAGGAATTATGTTAGATAATAGAGGGGAGTGACAAAAATGGGTAAGATATAGTCATTCCTTTTTAAGGGATTTACAATCTATAAGGGGAACACACATTCCTGAAATTAAAGAGATGAGGATTTTCTTTGTTTATTTATTACTCTTTGGGGTCTTATATTCCGGAACCCAGTTGGTAAGGGATGTCAGTGAAGACACCATCATCCCTTCACACCCTTCTGATTAGCTAATACAGCATCCCCCAACCTTTCTGGCACTAGGAACCGGTGCTCCTATGAGAATCTAATGCTTGCTGCTCTGAGGTGGAGCTGAGGCAGTGATGCTAGAGCTGGGGAGCGGCAGCAAATACCGATGAAGCTTTGCTCTCTCCCTTGCTCACCCACCATTCACCTCTTGCTCTGCAGCCTAGTTCCTAACAGGCCACGGAACAGTACTGTCCGTAGCTCGGGGGTTGAGAACCCCTGAGCTAACATATAGTGTTATTACCTATTCAGTTTTTCCTGTTACTTTTACTACCAACTCTTTTTTCAAATATTCAATTTCAGTATACCATTCTCTGATGACAGCCATCTACTCTTCCAGCTCTCTCAAGCCCTTACTCCCAATATACGTTCTCAATTTGCCTTTTTTAACCCTTTCTCCATTTTCATGGTTTCTGTCCTTTCTATGCAGCCTAGACACTAGACAGGTGACGTTAATCACCTTCCTCTTAGCATAGTTCATATTTTTGTCACTTTATTCTTCCAAAGCACTGCTCTTTTAAGTCCCTAAATTTCTGAATATTTCAAATAGAGTTCATAGTTCGTTCAGCAAAAAATTTCCTCTTCCATTTCCCGCAGTCGGTGTTTCAAACCTTAATTATTCTCCTCAGTCCTCCTCTCCCAAATCTTTCCCCCTTTGGACAAATGATCTTGCCTTCAACATCACAGAAGAAATTGAGCCTAAACAGCATGAAGTTCCCTAATTATTTACCCCACGTGCATTAACCCATCTATTCTTCATTTCATTGTTCTCAAAGATTTTTTTCTACAAGGCTAATTC